ATTGTGAATGATCTCGCTTTTGTTTGTTAATAACTATTTTTATCTTCTACTCCAATGATAATCTTGCAAAATGCATATTGAAGATTGATGAACTTTGCATAGTTGTAGTCAGATATCTCGATTAAATGTATTACTATTCATGCTAAAAAAAAAAAATCAATGAAGGTAAGCAGTAAGACAGTGTGTGTCCACCTTCGCAGATTTTCAGCTGTATATCGGCCAGATCAAGCTAGTGGTGGAAGCGGAGGAGGTGGAGGCAAGTATGTACCACCAATGTTACGCAAAAAGAACCAAAATAGTGGCAAGTTGATGCGATCAACGCCGCCACCTCAGGGCGCTCGACACAACAGTCATGGTGGTTCCAACCCGACCACACCCACCTCACCATCATACCCAGGTCCTCCCCAGGGAAGTTCTGGCAGCCATAGCCCAATTGGTGGCCCTGGAGGTGCTTCACCAGGTTATCCTCCTCCACAACAAGTTTCACCTGCAACCCATAGTCCCTCCCCAGCAAGTCACCCAGCAGTGCAACGCCATAACTCCCAAGGCAATCACCATGCCCATACTCAAGATGGCAAGGTCAATGGAGATTCAAAAGGATCTTACGGTAAGTTGGTTAAAGCTTTTCAGTCCAATTGCATACTGGAATTATTTGTTCTTGGTACAGTATTTACTAATAGATGTTGGAAGTGGTATACACTGCTTGTTAGAAATTTAAAACATATGGATGATGAAGGCAAGTTTTGTGAAATCTTGCTCTATTGATATCATGTTGACAAGATTTTTTTTTTTTCCCCCTTGGACTGTAGACCGCAGAAGCCATGAAGGTCCCATGTGTGAGAACAACAGAGAGAGTCATCATAGTAATGAGCACAGTAACAAACAAGAGCTTCATGGCCGTCAGCACCACTCTGCCTCTCACTCAGATGGTGCTCATCCCAATCAGCCACAGCAGAAGCCGAAGCAGCCTCCTCCACAACATTCACATCAGCCCAACCAACATGTGAGCCACATGCCACCAGTGGGGCAGGGTGACCATCGCAAAGCGGAACCTCGGGAGCAGAGGGAGCCTCGTAAACAGCGCTCCAACAAGGACGAACAGATTGCAGACTTGAAGAAATTTGGTGCGGACTTCAAATTGATTGATCAAGCCGATAAAAAACAGCCACAACAGCAACAACAGCAGCAGCAGCAGCAGCCTCAGCAACAGCCACCACAGCAGCAGCAACCTCAACAGCAGCAGCCTCAGCAACCACCTCCTCCGCAGCAGCAACCGCCGCCTCAACAACCACCACCTCCACAGCAGCAGCCACCACCACAACAGCAGCCACCTCCACAGCAGTCGCAGCCACCACCACCACAGCAACAGCCACAGCAACCTCCACAGCAACAGCAGCCACCTCCACCATCTCAGCAGCAACAGCAGCAGCAGCAGCAGCAGCAACAACAGCAGCAGCAGCAGCAACAACAACAACAGCAACAACAGCAACAGCAGCAGCAACATCACCAACAGCAGCAGCTGCAGCCTCAGCCTCAACCCCAGCACCTTCCTCCCCAGCAGCATCCACCTCAGAGGCAGACATCCCCGGTTACAACACCTGTCCCTGCTGGTCCTCCTCAGGCAGTGCCCCAGAGCACTCACCACCAGCAGAATCCTCCTCCAATGACCATGAGCCCAGCAACTGACATGAGCAAGAGTCACGATGATGTGGAGAAGATAACTGTATCTAACTCTAAATTGAATCCAAATGCAAAGGAGTTTATATACAACCCAAATGCAAAACCCTTCAGTCCAGTAAGTAAAACCAGATGTGAAGCATTATTTGTTTTGCTTTAGAACTTTCTTTATTCTAAGTATGATAATTTTCTTCATTATGTTTAGTCCTCATTTTAGTTATAATTCTTAAGTTTGCAAAGAGAAGCCCTGTTACCTTGTTATTTTATGTACAGTCAAGCATACAGTCAATGACATAAAAGGTCAACATTATATTCATCATAGTCCCTTGCATGTGTTGTTTGCACCTGATAACACTATTATGTAAGGTTACTAAGGATCCACTACTGCTATGCTGTGGCTGGCAATCAGCATGTAATAATTATGTCAAATATCTTCTTAAAAAGAAGTAAGTGACTGTGAAAATCAGCTCAAAACTGAGCAATATAAACCAGTATAACTATAATAACTGTGTCATAGAAGAAAAGGTTACATTCATGGATTAATTGGCCCGTCTTACAATCTCTAGATTGTAGCCTTTCAAGGCATCCATAGTGTAAAATGCGATACAGTCATTGTTGACACTTGTTCTGTTTTACAGGGTAGTTTATTTTTCAAATGGTAAGCATAACTGTAATAGATAATGGCTTGTTATTCCAATTAATATGTTGGCCTATAATTTTAGAATGTGTAAAACAAACTACAGATTTATTCCTCGCTCTTCTTCCCACCTTCCCATTCTCCTTTTTTATCAGCACCCCTCCCTCCTGTATGCAAGCCAAGTCGTGACTAGCTTATCTCAGCATACCACATTCAGGTCTTCATGGGATATTCTATCGTGTATGAACCAAATCATTATCATCACCATTACCCATACCTGAAACCATAAGCACAGTTATTCAAGAAATCATTACCATTAGTCACACTTATTTTGCTCTGTCTTTTAGTTTAGTATGTTAATTGTATTTACACATAGATGGCTCCAGCATTAGTACATAATCATGAAGGAATCAATTACTAATCCTTTTTAGTTTGCATATTTTTTTATTGTATATTGCTATTAGTATTGCTAATAACACTGAATAGTTAAATCTAATAACAATAATAATGATAACGGCATCAACATTAACCCCTTTGATACGGATGCTTCACGGCAATCACATTGCCAAAAATATGGGCATTAGATTTCCGCTATCCAGATAATGATGGACTGTTTTCCTTGCACAGACTTCATATTAACTCTCTATAACTTAGTCCAAGAATAAGGATGTGGATTTTTTCAGAAAATTTCATAATAATCAAATTTTTGTAATACAACTTGTGCCACCAATCATGGTGGCCAGGAATAAGATCCTGGAAATGTTGTCCTCCCTGGAGCTGCCCTTCCAGTCATGGCTCATGGACACTACATTCCACATTTGTTTATCGAATGGAATGCCAGATGAGTCTAAGCACCCTCCAAGAGGTTTGAGCATTTGTGGAGAACTCTTTCCTGTTACCTCGGCCTTAAGCCAAAATGCTCATGATGGCAAGTTCACATCACCCTGGCCCACAGCCAGATTTTCCCATGACGGCTTGTTCACTTTGCCCACCCCTCAAGTGAAAGTGATGATCATGTTATCTGGATGAAAGGGGTTAATATTTTTGGGGAAAAAAATTAACAGAATATCTGGTTAGAGGCCACATATAGCCACTAATTGACACCTCGGTTGCTTTGCACTTGTGGAGCCATCTGTGTGTGAATACATTTCACAAAATGATTATACAGTGAACATTACAATGTTCTTGGCAGCATTATGTTACTATTAATAGTAACGATAACAGTAACAAGAATAGTAGTAAATATGATTTTAATCAATATCTTTTTGATATGAGTTATTGAAAGCAGTATTATCAAGTCATAACTAATTGTAAACAAGTTGTGATAATGAATTTTTTTTTTTTTTTCAAGAATATGAATTATGAATACAGCTCATGAATGACGATTTCCATTAATTGTGGTCTGCAAGATATGTTTTTCACTAGGTAACTTTAATTCCTGCCAGTCATATATTGGACTTTTATCATCACTAGTTTATTATTTCTCATTTTTGTTGTATGTTTTCAATGTTTGTGATCACTACTTTTCACTTGCAAGAATAATTATGCGTTATGCACCATTTAGAAGAAAAGACGGAAACATCAGTAGGCATTGAGATACTTCACATTGCTATTCCTCATTGGAAATGAGGAGGAAGTTAGTCATTATACTATGGAACTTCGTCATGTGGTGCCCATGGTGCATAAATGCTTGAGATATTTTCTGAATTTTTTGTTTTCTAATGTTTAATATTTCCATATGGCGGCCGTCGCACTTGAGAATGAAGTTCGTTAATTATTATCAGATTTTAGTGATTTTTTTATGTGTTATATATACATATACTATGATTTACACCACCAAGATTCATATCATTTGGATAATAAACAATGAAGTTCTTAGAAAAAAAACAAGGTTTTGAAAAATCAAAATAAATTATGTATCTTAGTTATCCATTGACTGAACTTGATGAAGAAAATACCACATATACTCTATAGCAATACCTAAATTATCAATGATGGATTTTGAAATTTCCTCTTTGGCTAGAGGATTTTTTTTTTTTTTTTTTTTTTTTTTTTTTTTATCATTGTTAACCCACCCGCCGACGGGGTACATTTGTAGCCCAAAATTTAAAAAATCCGGGAAGCTACAAAAATCGGCGGGCGGAGCTTCCCCGGAGTCTGTCTGCCCCCCGGCCCGCCCGCCGCTTTTGCCGCGGAGCACGGCTCCGAGACAGCATCGCACTGGCGGCAACCCGAAACTGTTTATTTTTTCCCTGTGTCTCATATATGTGACACCCGGGACGAATGGGTTAAAGATATAAAATATGGTATATGGACTTTTATCACCAGAAATGAAAATCAAATTATTGAGAAAATCACTCTTTTATTCAGCTTTCTAATGAACCCATTAGAATCGCCCAAGTATTTTCAGAGTGACATAAAAAAAATGTGGACAAAGATATAGTTCTGAGATATTAGGCTTTGAAGTTGAGAATACTTTTTCCTCCATTATTATTTTTTATTTTATTTATTTTTTTTATATGATCTCTGCATCAGTCTTGATGCATTCTATGGTATTCTGAAGTGTAGCTGGTACCTGGTCCCCCCCTTTTGCTTGGTACTAATGGCAATAACTACAGATAATTGTTGAAGTACCATGTGTCATCACAGGCTTTGCAGTGCCTTTACAGTACCTCGTAGGGCATGT